TCTCCCCCCCACCCCCCATCCCTTAAGCTCCTGCTATGAGTGAAACCATCTGGTATATTTCTTTTTCTTTCTGGTTTATTTCACTAAGCATGATCCCTTCCAGCTCCATCCATGTTGCTGCAAAAGGCATGAGTTTATCTTTTTTGATTGCTGAATAATATTCCTTGTGTATATGTACCACGTAAGCGCAAAAACTATTCTAATACAGTTGCCATTTTACTCCTAAAGGATGAATAAAGGGAAATAAAGCATGTATTCACAATCTATGTTTTAGGTCTTTGTAAGATACTTGCTCTTTTATTACTTGTTGATAGCTCTGCTTGAGTCACTTTACCTGCTCTGAGGTACCCCAACAAAACCTGGGTCATCCTTTAGGCTAAATTCATTGCCTCCTTTCCCTGGGATTTCTGTGGCTGCTTATACCCCATAGCACTTTCTTATTTTTATTAACCCCTATTATACTAAGAAGTTATATGGAAGGAAATCACTGTGTAACTATGTTTAAAAAATTGTTACACCAATTCTTTTTGACTGTAACTGTTTTGGAATTATCTGGTTTAGGGAAGATTTTTTTTTGGGGGGGGAAGAATTTAATAAAAAATAAAAACTGATAAGGGACATTGATTGGGTCAGTAATCTTATATTAGAGAGCTTTATTCTGATGTGGCCATGCCCACAGGCAGATTTTTAGAGCCAACGGTATGTACCTTTGAGAAAGGATTGGGGGTTAGCTTAACATACTTTAATGCTGAGATGGAAATCAAAGAGATATATTTCTTTTCATAAATAGCAAATTCACATTATACTAAATAATGCATTTTAAGAAAAAACTTCATTTCTCAAATCATCAGCAGCAGTTTTTATGACTGACTAAATCTGCTAAATCTTTTCTGACTACAGCTATCAACTTCGCCGAAGATAAAAATGTCACCTATGTTTTGGCCAGCAAAATCTATAGTGATGAAGTTAAATTGAGGTGAAAATGTGCAATCTAATATTTTAGATTACTGTTCAAATTTTCTTTTGCAACCGTTACGGACAGATAAGTGATAAAGGATATTTAATAGGGAAAAAGACATATGGAAATGTAATGGTAGTGGTGGGTGGGCACACAGACAAAAAGAAAAAATATGTAACTTTACAAGTATGTAGCAAAATGGAAACTTTGCAATACATTATAAAAAAATATAGCTTCTCAAGCAAAAGATACTCGGAACACTTCATTTAAATTAGAGTACCGAAATGTATATACTTACATAGAATTTACATGAAAAATAAAATTTGAATATTCACTATGTTTCTCACTTAATGATTCATGGAGGATAATAAATCTATTTTTGCCCTGAGTCTGATTTTTTTTTTAAAAGATTTATTCTTAATTTATACATTTAAAGATGCAGAGGGTGAAAGGATTTACCAGAGAGTGAGTGGGGAACACAAGCAGATCTACTGAAATACACTGCTGATGCGAGCAGTAGGTGAGACAGGAGAGGTCTGCCATACCATGTAGGTCAGCTTTCTAGCACTGAGACTTTAATCCCTATACCCCTAGAGAGGCCCTGAGAGGCAAAATCTTTTCTTAATGTTTTGCTGGTCACCAACACCAAATTAGGTATGAGAACTGTAATGCCAAAGTAAATGATTACATTAAAGAAATGACTCCGTTGGTTTAATAAACAACTAAATACAAAACAATACACCAAAGAAGCTTTGTGTTTTTGGTGAAAATTCCTACTGTTGTTTTCAGCAAATGGATTTTGTACTTACTCTTACTTGTAAAAGTTAAGTATTTACAGAAGCCCCCCTCTGGGCAAAGGCATCATGCTAGGTGATACTCATGTTGGCACTAGTACAAGATGAAAACTAGACTGCGGGTCTTAAAAGAGATAGTAATTCAAGAGGATGATTAACAGAAGCACAGAAAACCCAGATACCAGGTTAGATCAACAACAGTGAGCTATGAGGGCTAAAGGGCTGGAAGAAACAGGAAAAGACTGAAGGAGAAAATAAAACTTGACATAGAATTTAAAGGATGAGTAGGATTTTGATGGTATGGGATGATGGGGAGGTGGAAAAATGAGTGAGGGAGAAAAGGTATTCTTGTGAAAGAAAGAATATGAACACAGACATGAAAGATGGGGACTCCAGAAGATATGTCGGGAAAAGGAAGATGAGATTGCATTACAGAAGACACTTGACTGTCAAATTTGAATGTGATCCAGTAAGCACTGAGGAGTCACTGAGCATTTTAGAGGATTAACACAAATTTTATTTTCTCACAACCATACATTATCATAGTCTGGTACTCTTTCTTTCCTATTTTTTTTTTTTCTCTCTCTCGCCTAAATGCTAGCAATGAGTATAAACCAAATGGAGGAGAAAGACCAGCAAATAAACGTGTCAACAATGAAAGGAGGCACAGGGAGCAAGGGCTCATTTGTGCTTTGTCCACGTTGTAGTTGAACAGTTCATTTTAACCACATTTTGGAACCCTAAATAAGTTTTTGACAGTCAAAGTACTATAGTTGACCATGATAAATTATGAAGTACAGCTTTCATTTGGTCTTCTTTTCTACACTTCAAATTCTGTCTGTGTTGGACTAGAAGAAATGACTAGAGCTAGCGGTTGTAATTAAAGGACAGATTAATGACTACATGCAAAGAATCCTTGAGCTAAAGTAAGTAAGTCAATCTAAATTTGGGATTTGAAATACTCTGCTATCCATTAAAAAAAAAAAAACCCAGCATTTCAAATAATACAAAAATCAAACAACAATATTATTATAAATCTGTATAATATCTAGATTGAAAACTAATTTACCTCATGGTCATGAGTGGCCTGTCGGGCTGCATCTAAAATATGAAAAGAATAAGAGAACATTAAGTTGAAAAACAAAACAACAATAAAACCCAAGTATATAACTGTGCCCAACTATGAAAACTGCTGGTACAGGTAGATCCCCACACATCTATTTTCTCTCATGCTTTATTAATCACTTGATCTTAGCCAAAAAAGCCAAGAAGCCATTTCTGCTTTATTAATCAGTCAGTCAACAAAAATAAGAGGGAATCCCATATTCACAGGCTATAAAATTAGACAAAAGAGAAATAGCAGGACAGTTCTTACCTTGAGGAGAACAGGGTGAGGAATGGATGGGCAACACACACCAAGGCTCTTTGTATAACAAGAGAGTTTAACAGGCAAATGCCCAAGTGTGGAGAGGATGCAGTTAGGGAATGACAGCCTGGTTATGGGTGGGGAGCCTTTGGCAGTGCTTACTGAAGAAGGGGAACTTGCAGCACTGACAAACAATTTTAAAGGAGAACAAAAGACCCAGGAAGACCAGGATCTTGTCTATCTTGTTCATTCACTGTGGCATCCATACTGCCTAGATAAGAGCCTAACAAGTAACAAGAGGTGCTCACTTCATATTTTTTTGAATGCGTGCATACATGAATAAATAAATAAAAAGGTTGACCACTAAGAGAAATGGCACATGAAAGGCTTAGAGGTGTTAAAACAAGATAGTTACATAGTTTAGATTTGTTTGGGGGCAGAGGAATACCTACACTGGGAATTAGGAAAAAGAAAAAAAAAAAGTTATCTACAAGGGTCAAGGATCTTAGAACATAGGCCCAATTCAATGCTGGATATAGAAACCAAACAGAAATGTCTGAGAGCAATGTATTTGTAGTGAAATTCCAAGGTAATACTTATAAGTAAATGTAAGGTGATAGAGAAATAAGAGAAGCTTATCTCTGATATTTAGCACTCCAAGAGGAGACTTTGTGATGCTCCTTAGTAGCACAGCAAGCTACTAATCCAACTGGGTCTGGTTTTGGTACCTTGCCTATGAGATTTGCCTTTCTGACGGTCCTGGGTTTTCCTACTGAAGACCTTGTAAGCCTCTGTCTTCTGATACTGCTCCAGTTCCTTCATGTAACGTTCCTTATCTCTGTCTGCTTCATCAAGGTAGCGCTAGGAAAGAAATGTGGATTTTTTTCAAGAAAGGGGTGTTTAGGTAAAATATCAATTATCTATTTGAAGAAAACAGGACAATAAGATATGAAAAGAAACGTATACAGGGAATAAGCCTTAGAGGAGAATAAAAATAACAAGTTATATGAATAGAATAATATAATCTCTCATAAAATAGATGATTTTGACTTTTTAGGCTACTTACTGCCTTTTTGAATTTAATGAAAACAAGTTGTAATGAGTATTCTCTTAAAAATTCATAAAGACAATTATAGTTATTTCTCTAAACCTACAGACAGAACTCCACATGGCCACTAGCATCCTCAAGAGGGTTACACAGCATACAGGCACACTTAATCTTCCCAGGGGAAGGGATGGAATATTGCTTTGTTTCTCTATCCCTAAACCATTCTGAGGGCAGGATATCATACATCAACTGGCTTTTTAAGAGCCAGAAGAGTAGGAAACTAAAACCGGGAAACACAAAGAACATAAAAAAGAATGACCTCATCCTATGGACCTAAAATGGACCACTCTGAGAAAGCTCTCTCTGCATGCTTTGAGCTATTAATTATTTAAACAAAGTTCATTGATCTACCAGGATAATTTTGTTTAATGCCTTGTCCTTTATATTCATCAATTAGATAGACAAAATATAAAAATACTACTACTAAGTGAACACAAACTGGAGACAGACATAATGTTTAAAAATGTTGTTTCAAAAAAAAAAAAAACAAAAAACGTTGTTTCATACAACAGTCAAATATAGGGAACATCCAATCCAACTGGTGAATGGGAAAATTTAAATATCAAACCACTTAGGTGGTTTGATACTTAAATATATTAATATTTAATAAATTTAAATATCAAAACACGTATAGTTTTAACTACAAACTATTGGGGGGGGGAGGAAACCCCACCCCACACCAATTACTATTGGTAACAATGAATATATAAATGGGTGGGTAGGGGAAGGATGCACTGGGCTGACTGGTGAACGTGGAAGGAATGGTGGAGTTGAAAAATCATTGTTTTGCAGTGATCATAGTAGGGATTAGATCAGGCAAAGGTCACTGATCAAAGCTAAGTCCAGGGGGAAATTAAGACATGCTATTTGCATATCCTTAAAATGTCTCTCCATAGACTGAACAAAATTAACATTACCAATGAGGGAATAAAAAGATAGCATGGCCTGCATATCACACCCAGGGAAGGACATATGATCTAGGCAGCATTCTGCCCAAGAACACATAACCTTAATCTAATCAGAGGAAACATCAGACAATTACAAAGTAAGGAATGTTCTGATAAGAGTAAACAAACTGGAAGGGAGAGGCAGGAGGGGGGTTACAGAGTTAAAAACAGTGTAATAAAGACAAAGGTTGTGGAAATAGCCCAATGAAAGGAATTTAGAGAATATTTCAAAACCTGATCCTATACTGGGGAAAAATATTATAGAGGAATGATGTATGGTCAATGGACAAAACTGGTATATGGATGATAGGTTAGAAAAAGTATTGTGTTAATTAAAGATTATAAGTTGACAATTATATTGTGGTTATATAAGTAAACTAATATGTTTATCCTTAGAAAATACATACTGACATATTTATGGGTAGAGGGCCATGATGTATGTAATTTGCCCTCAGATAATTCAGAAAAGTGTGTGTGTGTGTGTGTGTGTGTGTGTGTATGTGTAGGAGAAGGAGAGAGGGCAAATTGAGGAGAGAGAACAAATGCCTACACACAGGAACAAATGAGCAAGCACAGGACAGTATGTGTGCTTGTGTAAGTGGAAGAAGGAATAAAAGGGGTTAACGATGAGTGAAACACTGTACAGGGTATTTACATGTGGGTATTCTTTATAGTATTCTAAGTTTGCAACTTTTGTACAGCCAAAATTATTTTCAAATCAAAGGTTCAAAACCAAAAACCTTTATAGTACCTAACAGTGCTATCTCTAGTGATAATTGCTTCCCCCCCACTTATTCTGTATTGTCTGAAAAAAATTTAAGCAATGAGCTAATATTACATTTGAAAAATAAGAGTCACGCAGCCTCACAATCCCTTTATACAGTCAAGCGAAAACAATAGGCTATACACACTGCTTTCTATCAACTTGCTTGCATAAACACAGAGCTTCAAGTTGCAATTTAATCTGATTTGTTTTTGAATTCAGCTAATTCCTGAGAGTATTTTTCAACTTGGTTTTATTTGGTGTGGAATCCTTTTTAAAGAGGACACATTAATTTTTTCCTTAACCACATGATTAATGTGATAGTTATTATTTCATCCAGCGCTTACTACTATACACTCCTGTAGAAAGAGAAGACAAATGACTTCTTTCCATCTCTTAACTTTCTCACCTCTAAAATAAATAATCACAAAATTAAAAAAAAAGACTAAGTTATAACTGAGTAAAAGACATATAGCTATCTTCCCGATGTTGAAAATGCTAGGAATTTTTAATTGAAAGCCACTTCCACAATCATTACCACCACTCTGCTTTTGCAGCATTTTAGCCAGTTCATGGCTTTCTTGCTCTGATTTCCTCTCAAATTTCTCTAACAAATGGGTAAGTTTTCAGTTTTGCAGTTAGTTTTTGCCTTAGAAAACAATGTATTTATTTTGCTCTTACTTTATTTTCTTTAATAGGTTAAGTCTGCCAGAATTCTAGTTACCAAAAAAAAAAAAAAAAATTAAAGCAGCAAAATCTTTTTCTTAAATGAAATGTAATGTAACAGAATTTTGTCACTTCATTCAAGATTTTTCCATTTAGCTTGATAGAATAAACGATGTAGCTAAATTACTTAATATTCGGCTACTTTAAAAAAACCCTGGACTCTCAGCACAGAAAGCTGCTTTGGCTGATGAAGATGCTGGAATCGCTCCTGCTCACATCTGCCATGGACCATGAAGGACTGTAAAACCACTGAGCCAGAGAAAGGAGCCACAGGTCTCTGCCATCCTGACTTCCCAGGTGTGTGCCAAAATTGAATAATCAACTGTCTACCCTCTTTTTTCTTTTTAAAAAAGATTTATTTATTTATTTATTTATACATACATACATACAGACAGACAGACAGACAGAACTGAGTACAGGCCAGAGGTGCAGGTGTTGTGAGAGGATTAGCCAGAGACAGAGTGGGGAGCAGAACAGGCTGACTGATGAAGTTCACTGATGAGGGGAGCAGAGGGCAGGTCATGAGAGGTCTGTTGTGCCATGTGGGTCACCTCCTGGACGGGGATCAAACTCATATTGAAGTGACTTTAGCTTCCTAGTGCTGTGCTTTAACCCGATGCACCACCAGGGAGGGCCCTTTCTCTCCTTTTTTTTTTTTTTATAAAAAAGTTCTTATTTTTGCATAGAAGAATTGGGGTGTAAGACAGAGGAGTGGAGGCAGGGGTGAGAGGATTCATCAGAGACAGTGGGGAGCAGAACAGGCAGATTGACTGAAATACACTGCTGAGGGGAGTAGTGATGAGACAGGAGAGGTCTGTTGCATCTTATGGGTTAGAGCTTTGGCCGGTGATTGAACTCGGGCTATCGAGGTGATAGCACTAAGACTTAACCCCGAGACCACCAGGGAGGCCCTATCCACTGTTTTTCTGATAAAAGTTGTTTTGAGATACCAAAATCAAGCAAAGAGTCAGTAATAGGAACAGTTACCTGCTTTTCTTCAGGAGGCAGTTTACTCCATTCATTGCCCAACATTCTGGTGATTTCTGGAAACGGGACTTCAGGTCTTTTTGCTCGAAGCTGTTCTCGACGCTCATTCATGAACCGAACATATCCTGTAAGTGGGGATTTGGGTGCATTGCTGTCTCGGAGAGGTTTCTTCCTCTTTCTGCCTTTTGACCAACCTCCTCGTTTACTTCTTTGCTAGAAAACAAGACAAAATAAAAAAGCCAAAAATAAGATTACAACAACAAAATCCCCTTCTCTCCCAAACACAACAATCAACACCAACCAACAAAACAGGATATGAGCTGAGTTTTCCTATCATACAGCCTTGATAGTCAGAGCTCTCCAAATCTGTCATGCACCTAATTCAAGAGGGGCTCTAGATAGTTCACCTGCAGAACATTCACATTACATAAACTGTTGCACCAGAGGATTAATTTAGTGCTAACCCTAACATGAGAAGCAGTGGCACCATGGTAATGCAAAGCTGTGGTCTTCACCTGCCCTTAACAAGTTTTGACTTCTGAGAGAGTAATATGCGAAGTGAGAGATGCAGACATTGTTACAGTAATTCAGAAGAAGTGGTCACATGAACCCATGAACCGGGCCAATGAAGTGGTAAGTTGTAGCATACGGATTCCAAATCATTCAGGAAAGGGAATTTCTCACTGATACAATTCAGAATGGGCTTATTTCCCATAGCAGGTAGCATATCAACTTTAAAGTTAATAACTGTCTTAGAAAAAATTTCAGTTGCATATAGTACACCCAAATTAAAGATTAGTTCTTCAGCTTGATGATTTGTTCCTTAAGAAGTTTGTTTTATTAGAGGTCTTTGTGTTATTAATTATATCAAAAGATGAAATTTTCTCTAAAAAGTTTTAGAAAAAAACTGAGGTACTGTTGGTGTTTGACCACAGCCCTTTTCTATGAGATGTAAGTGCACGAAACTTTTGCTTTATAATTTTACAACTACAAAGAGTCTAGCAGGTAATATTTTATGAATATAAGAATTCTTATTACAGAAAAAAAAAAGATGAGCAAAACGGACAAAAATATCTAAACAGTAATTAAAGCAAGCAATCCTCCAGATATACATAACATAGTTATGTATAATTCATAATTCACGATTGGGATAACGGTATATTTGGTATTCATTTCTTCCCTTGTTTTTGTTTTGTAAATCTCGTAGCATTAAATCTACAAAAAAGTTTTAAGACAGCTGAGAAGCTTTAAGCATTTAAGATTGCCACCATGAAAACACATCAGCTTTTTAATAAGAAAAAAGACAAAAAAAATCAATAGTGGTTTTACTGTTTTATGGCAAGAAAATGTGCTTTAAATAGACAGTGGAATCAGTCATTTGGGGAGAACACTGAGGACACACCAAGGGCAAGACTGCCACAGCATATGGAATCTCTGTGTGAATTACAGAAATGCTCCCCCGTGGGAGAGAGAAGATTTGGCAAATGCTGCCAATCATTTAGGCACCCGTGAGTCCACGCTGCAGGGCCTGGTGAGCAGCATGGGGCCTAGAACAAGGGAATGTGGACTTCTCAATTATTTAATTAAGTCACTCACTCTGCCAATATGCATTTGTTGAGACTAATATGATACAGCTATACATTTCTAGAAAGGGGATAAAGAGTTTGTTTTTATGCAATTAAAGCCATTCATACATGGCTCCATGCGAAATAAGTAGAAAAGAGAACATTTTGCAGAATGTAAGAAGGCCAGATCTCATCAAGGCCAGAACCCTTGATTAAAGCCCTTGTTAACTGCTTTTTCAGAAGCTTCACAGACCAGTAAAGGGGAGATGCTTGGGCGCTTACCTCATCTTCATGCCTTTGCTCATTGCCTTCTGCTGTATTAGGAGGCTCATTTTGAAGCAACTGCCCTTGAGAGAGATCCTCCACAAATTCTGAATTGTTGGTGGATGATGTGACTCCACCACTATATGGAACCTCTGGGTGGGTTAACCTGAAGAATAAAAGGCAGAAATGCAAAAGCTCAGTATCAACTGATCAAAAATGTCTATTCAATCTAGGTTCAAGACAAATTTCACTGCCAGCAGAAACACATACCAGTCCTTGAATTAATGCCCTTTTCATTCTCTGTAAATGTATACAATGTCTCCATAGTAGTTACAGAATATTTTATAAAAATGGTTTTAGTACTTGACTGAACCAGGTCTCCTATAGAAAACAACTATAATCTTTTCTCCTCAAATTACCTCATCCCTTATCATAGACTTCACATCTTAGATTTGAGTATGCAACAGAATTTCATAAGCTTCCGGTCCTGTATCTCCAAGTAAAGGGAAAATGCTATCAATGGAAAAGGAGGAGAAAATTGAAGTTGTGGAGGTAGCTGCCCCATTAAAAAAGATAATTCTCAAAGCCTATTCTTTTTTTGGATGATAGTGTTTATTAACATCCAGACCATCTTGCTGTCAATATTATCAAGTTCAGGTACAAATTTTGTTAATAAATCAGACAGATATATTTCTTTTCTGTCCCATCATTCTGCTGTAGATTAGCCAGCAAACCAGTTCTTCTGAAAAGTAAACACAAGAGCGTATGGATGGTGGTTGGGTCTTTGACTCATCCTATTACATGTGGATAAAGGAACGAAGCAAAAGGCAACACCATGTGCTGGGCAGTTTGGAGGGAGGAAACTGGGTAAGAGCGTAACTAACATTGGTTGTCCTGGAAGAATGTATACTCCATGGTGCTACAGACAAACAATTATAATGCAATATAAGCACTAAAATAGAGATTTATTCAATAGAGTACTAAATCAGATTTATAAAATGTACCATTTTAGATGATGAATTTTATATAAATGGTGAGGATGCTAAGAAAGATTTTACAGAGAAGGTCCTTAAAGATAAATAGGAACGTGTCAGGTAAACAACATCATTCTAGGCAGAAAGAACAAGGCGTAATAGGGAAATATAAAAGGAGGCTACTGCAATAAACTAAGTGAGAGAGTAGGGTAGAGAAGATGGAGGACAGGGGAGAACAGGCCAAGAGATACTTAAGAGGTAAAATGGAGAAAATTCAATGACAGATTTGAATATAAACAGTGATGGAAAAAGTTGAGTCAAAGATAATCCTGAGGTTCTAGATTTGGGGACTATGTACCCTTAACCAAGGTAACAACTGGAGTCTGGCTGTGTGTGTGTAACAAAGTTTGAAATACTCATGATCTAATTAAGTATAGCTGTTCCATAGTCAACTGGAAACATGTGCTGACAGAACAGATGTGAGGGAAAGACAAGAGACAGATTTGAGAGGCACCAGGCCACAGGGACAGTGGGAAGAGCTAAACAGTCTCTAGGAAGCTAGTGAGAAGAAAAGTCAGGATAGAACACAATTGGAGCAGTAACATTTTAGGATCGAGTTAGGAGGGCATTAATTTAGGGCCAAGGTGGAAAGACTTTGAAGAAGGGAGTACTAACCAAGTAAAAAGTTGGAGATGTCTACTTAAACAAAGATACATTTTAGCAGAAAGATGCTGGCAATTTTAGATTATACAGTTTTGGTAGAATGATGGGCATAATAACCAGATTACAATGAACTGAGAAATGAATTAAAGCAGATGTAGGATTGTGCTGGAAATGAAAGAGTTTATACTTCTCTGACACTTTCTAGAAAACATAATGGATGATTCAAGAGGAGGTTCCATCTTTTTGAAAGCCTTTGAAAAAGAATAAGTAAGAGAATGTATATATTCAATGCCAGTCATGTTCTCTGAGCCAGGTTGATCTCAGCAGCTTTGTTTTTCCAAATGTTTCAATCATTTTGGGTGTCTCAGGCAACTAACTGTCTTTTCTTTGGAACAATTCTCATTTCAATTTTGCTATCATTTTAAGTTACTAACTCTAACATATTCTTATTTTAATAAAATATAAGAACTAAATCTGGGGAAAAACAGCAGTCTTATGACTCTTGAGTGAAACAGACAGGAAGCAGCAGAAAGTGCTGGAAGGAGTCAAATGTCTTGCAGATGACAAGTTGGATAACGACTGAAAAATACAGATTTTTTTTTTTGTTTCTGTGAATGAATTGTCCAACAACTCTTCCATTTGTGCTCTGGGTCCCACATCCTCTAGCTTACTCAAAATAGACAGGTCTTCTACAATTTTGCACTCTCTGGTATCATCAATTCTTCTTCTCTACTGTATTTATTAGTTTAATCAGTTCACAAACTACTCTTAAAAAGAAAACAAAAACAAAAACTCTACTCTTTTGGCTTCACTTCATTTTTCTCTTTTGCTTTATATAATTTCTTAAACTTATTGATTTTAATTTCAAGTTCTTCACAATTTCTTTCTAAATACATGTTGACAAATCTGGTCAAGTTGCCACTGACTTCCATGCTATATGAAGCATCATTTCCCAGAACTCATCTTACCCGAACTTCCAGATATATCTGAGATAATTGGTTTCTTCTACTCCCTTGGAATCCTTTCTTACCCTGGTTTCCAGGACCCTGCTCTTCTCTACTCTCCCTGTTACCCTTTTGCTGTCTGCTGACTCTGGACTATCCCAGGGCTCATGCAGTAGAACATGTCTACTTTTGTTTCTAAACAGAGCTTAAACACGTATTTAAATACATATTTAAACACTATCTCACCATATTCCCTGACTTTAAATATAAGCTGTATACTAATGACTCTTAAGTTTCTTTTTCTAGTCTGGACCTCCCTGAACTTCAAAACCTAGCACCAAGTTGCCTATTTGACACCTCTGCTTGGAGAGCTAATAATCATCTCAAAAAAAAAAAAAAAAATCTCCAAAGCTGAGTTCCTAAAATTCTTCCCCTACCTGCTTATTTTCCCCATCTAAGTTAATGGCAATTCCATCCCTTAGATCTCCCAGGCCAAAGACAACTTCAAAGTTGTCTTGCTTTCTCTCTCCCTCTCTCATCTTATCTGGTCTTTAGGCAAATGCCGCTTGGTTTGCCTTCAAAATATATCTACAATTCTATACTTTGTACCATACCCTCTCCAATTAGGTTTTTGCTCCTATTGCTCTGTCAACATACTCTTATTAAAGTCATTTAGTGATGTTCTCCAGGTCATCATCTCTCACCTGAACTATTTGAGGAATCTAACTGGTCTGTCTCCTTGCTTCAGCCCCTGCTCCCTTCACTCTATTCCCATAACAGTCATAGGTTCAGAGCCTATTAAAATGTAAGTCACATCGTAGTCTGTTCCAAATCTTCCAGTGCTTTCCAATCTCACTTACAGTAGAAGTTAACATGCCTATCTGACTTGTGATATCCTACACAATCTAGTCCTTGCTAAAATATGGATCTCATACCAGCTGCACTGCCATCATCTGGAATGCTATTACATGTAGAGAGCCTCTGACCTTAACTCAGACTTTCTGACTCAGAATCTGCATTTTGGTAAGCTATCTGGGCAATTCCTATGTAGATTACAACCTAAAAAAAACACCTGTAGGGTCCCCGCCCCATACTCTGCACTAGTCATTTCAGCCACCTGGTGAGACACCCCCCTGCCTTAGGGACTTCTGCATTACTTTTCCCTCTGCCTAGAATAATCTTCCTAGGTAACTGTATGCTGGCTACTTATTTCTTTCAGATCTGTATTTAAGCCACTTTCTCCATCAAGTCTTTCTGGGTCACCTTTTCTAAAGTCGTACTCCCAAACCCTCCCTTATCTTTCTCCTCCACTTCATTTTTTTTTTAATTATTTATT